GTGTGTGTGTGTGTGTGTGTGTGTGTGTGTGTGTGTGTTGTTTTGTTTTGAAATAGGGTGTCATGTAGCCCAGGCTGGCCTCAACTTCCTATGTTGCTGAGGATGACCTGGAACTCCCATCCTCCTGCCTCTACCTCCTGAACACTGGGATGAGAGGCATTCTCCACTATACCTGGCTTATGTGTAGCTGATGAACAAAGAGCCTTGTATATGTTAAACAGCTAAGCAAGTACTCTGCCCACTGATCCATAAGCACTCTGTCCACTGAGCTACAAGCACTCTATACACTGAGTTACAAGCAATCTATCCACTGAGCTACAAGCACTCTACCCACTAAGCTACAAGCACACTACCCACTGAGTTATTAGCAATTAAGCAACTGAGCTGTTAGCACTCCACCCACTGAGGCCAGCCTTAGCCAGTGCCTCAGATCTTTTTCAGGTCTTGGTATTGTGGGACTGGTCCTTGCCCACACAGCTTTGGCATGGCTCATTCTATGGCAGATCCCCGGGAGTGGGATTTGCTGGCTTGGGGAACCTCAACGTAATGATAGGGCACCAGAATCCCTGGAACTGGTTGTTAGCTTCCGTGCGGGTGATGGGAACTGAAATCAGGTCCTTTGCAAGAACAGCCAGTGCTCTTGACTGCTAAGCTGCCTCTCCAGGCCCCTCTTCCTTTGTTAAGTCAATGACAGGTAAGACATGACACCATCATTTGAGCCAGTCAGCCAGGGTGAATGTGTCCTTTCTGAACTGAGGTCTTTAATTAGACCATAAGGGGACTGTGCTTCTAGGAACACAGGCTGTCACCTATCTTTGTTAACACCAAGTGGTGACCTGGCCTACCTGCACAGGCCAGTGTCCCCACCCCAGTTTTATAGATGTCCAGTTACAGTTGGGTACCTTGAACTTGTCACAAAAGGGAAGGCAGTTACCTGGTGTCTCCAAGGCTTTAGGAGCTGGAGGGGCCCCAACTTGAGTTTAAAAGCTGAGGAAGCAGATGAGGTGGAGGATCTGTGCAGCGCATCTGATGAGTGGTTAACAGGTGAGTAGCTGAACTAGGGCTGGGTTAACTGCATGGTTAATGGATGGATGGGTTAGCTGTGTGGATTCACTGATACGCTGGTCACGTATTGAGTAGGTTACGAGATGGAAGAGTTAACTGGTGAATGGGTTAGTGGATGAACTGCTTGCCTAGTGAACAAGCTCAGAGTTGGAGGGGTTAACTGGTTGGTTAGCTGGTGAACAGCCTCTCAGATGGAGGGGTTAACTGGTGAATTGTTAGGAGATGAATTGGTCAGATGACGTACCCTAACCATAACCGGGCAGGTGGGTGACCAGTCTCCTGGTGACTGGTTTAATGAATCTGATTCTTACTGTCAAATTATGAACTCCAAGAGCAGACCTCACTGATCAGACTCCAGAACTCCATGGAAGAGCACTCCAGCCACAGTCTCCCCATGGACAGGTACTAGAATCACCTGTTGATGTGGACCCAGGTGAGGAGAACCAACTACCTCAACTAGTAATGCAGGGTGCCCACCCAACCAGGGCTGCATGGAGGCCCCCAGTGCCCCCTCTGAGCATCCAGGCCTGTGATTCCTGGATCACTAGAACCTGGAGTGTAGACCTACAATAGTGAATATTTGGAATTTGGGATAGGAGCCTACTATCTGGGGTGGAATTCTGGGTTCAAGGCTACTCTCTGGATGAAATTTTGGCTGTTGGCTTGCCCTGTGTTTGGAACTCGAGGTACAGACATGTCATCTGGATGGGACTCAGTGTACAGGCCCACATCGTGGATGGAAATAGGGATGTAGGTCCATCATGAGGATAGAACCTGGAGCACAGGGCCATCCTGAAGATGGAACTTGGGGTACAGGCCCATCATCTGGATATAAGTTGGGGTGCAGGCCCACCATGTTGATGGAACTTGGGGTGCAGGTACGCCATATTGGTGGATACCCTGTTGATGGGACTCAGGGTGCAGGCCTGTCATCTCCCTTCTGTAGTCAAGCCTATTCTCCATCACTGTCGTTGGGGGTCATAGCTCGCTGTGGGTGGCCGCACTGTAAGCTTCTGATTCTGGAAAGGCGCTTGGCGGCCCTGGGTGCGCCTCCTGCTGCACTCGCTTAGCTAGAGGACACTTAGGGACCCCCACCTCATATTCCTGTTTCCACTCTGGGATGAGGTTGTCTTCTCTCCACAGAGGGTATACCACTCTCTGGATTGTGAATAGATCACCCCAGGGGTTGGAAGGTGCTACAAGTGATGGAAGGTTCTGGAAGTGCTGTCAGGGTTTCCCACCCAGGCTTACAGGAAGTAGGAAAAGGCCGGCGCCTAGGCAGCTGCTCGCAGGCTGCCCGTACCCGTTCTGCGCACGCGCACTCGTTACGCGCTGTTGGAAAGCTGAAGAGGTCCGAGCAGCGGCCTTGGGGGCGTGGCCTACCCTGGACCCTGGCGGCTGTGGGCGGGGTCGAGGTTGTAGGTACGCGCCTCCCATTGGGCGGTGGCGAGGGCAGGGCTTGGCGCCAATCCGAGACAGGGCGGCTCCCGGGCCAGCACCGAGCCCAGTTCGATGCACCAGCTGAGGGGCAGGCGGGAGGGGAGGGGCGTGGTCGAGAGCTGGGGCGTGGCTTGGCCGGGACACTGGCGTCCGTGGGCGGGGCAGAGGGTTAGACACGCACCTCCCATTGGGCGGTGGGAGGACGGGACTCGGCGTCGCTGCGGGGGCCGGCACCGCCCCCAGCGCGCCGGGAGCTGCGCGGCGGCGGAGGCGGTGAGCGCGCGGTCTGGTGGCTGTTGGTGGACGGGTGGGCTTTCGCCGTTGGCGCCGCCGCGGCCTGGCCTGAAGAGAGAGCAGAGTGGGCTGAGGCGCCGGGTGAGCCCCGCTGCGACCCTCGGCTGGGCCGGGCGGGCCCCGCGGCGAGACCTGAGGACCGCAGCTCCTGGGCCGGACCCGCAGGGCGGGGCTAGTTCTGCGCAGGGCCGAACCCCGAATTCCTGCCCCAGTCCCTTTCTGCGGCCTGAATCCCTGCCCGTACTGAGAACCCCGAATTTCCCGTCTGAACTCCCTCTCTGCAACTTGAACCCCCGCCCATCCTGCTGGGAACCCCGAATTTTCTGTCTGATTCCCTTTTGCAACCTGAACCCCAAATTTCCTGCTGCGTAGCAAGCCTGGTTTTGGGGTTTTTTTTTTCGTCATTTTGAGACAGGGTCTCCTTGTAGCCCCAGCTGATTTGGAACTCCGTGTTGTAGACCAGGCTGGCCTGGAACTCACAGAGACCCGCCTGCCTGTCTGGAACCTTATTTCTTACCTGATCCTTCATCTCTGCCGCCTGAACCCCCGTCCCTGCCCCGAATTTCCTGCTTCGAACCCTCATTTTCTTGCTGACCCCTTGTCTCTGCAGCCTCAACCTCCACCCATCCGTGCTGAATCCCCTCTCTGCAGCCTGAATCCTGAATTCCTAATGTGAGCCCAGTATTTCTTACCTAATCTCTTACCCCTTTCAACCTGAACCCCCATCCTTGCTGTGAACCCGGAATTTCTTGGCTGAGCCTCCTCTTTTGCACCTTGAACTCTGTCATTCCTACCTGAATCCCTCTGCAGCCTGAGAGTGTCTTTCCTTACTGAGAACCCCAAATTTCTTGCTGCAAACCCTGTATTTCTTACCTTATCCCTTATCTCTGTGGCCTAACGAATTTACAGTCTGACCCCCTCTTTTGCAGCCTGAGCCCTGAATTTCTGCTGCAGAGCCTGTATTATCCAGTCCATTATCTCTGTAGTTCAAACCCTGTCCCTACTGGGAACCCTGAATTTCCTGTCTGAATCCTGATCTTTGCAGGCCAATCCCCCCTCTTCTATATCCTGAACCCCCATCACTGCTGTGAACCCCATATTTCCTGTTTGAAAGCCTATCCCTACTGAAAAACCTCAGATTTCTTGTCTGAATCTTGGTCTTTGCAACTTGATCCACCCTCTTCTACAGCCTGAACCCCCATCTCTTCCATAGACCCCATATTTGCTTCCTGAACCTGTCTGCTATGAACCTTATCTCCACCCACTGAACCCCCTTCCTTGCTGAACCTTCTTCCTTCCTGCTGTGAACCCCATATTTGCTGCCTGAGATTCCTAACTCTGCTGTCTGAACCTCTCCTGTGCTGCTGTGAGCCCCTTCTGCTTTGAAGCCCTGTGTTTGCTACCTAAACTCCCGCTTCTACAGCTGATTGTCTCCCGGAAAACCCTCTTCTGCTGCTGGAACACCCGCAACCCCAGCCCTGCTGTCTCCTCCCCCATTTTTCCATTTCAGTCCACAGCCCAGGCAGCCAGGGGTGTGGTGACTGCCTGCAGCTGTTCCCTGCCTGAGCACAGTCAACCTTCAGGCCTGTGTCAGGATGGGTTGTGAGCTCTAATGGCCCACTATGTGGTGCCTGGTCAGAGTAATTGGGGTGCAACCTCGGATAGGGTGTCTAGTGAATTTTATTTATGGGACACAGTGCAGGCGCCTCTGCAGGCCGGGTGCTTGTCTGTCACTTGGCTTCTTGCTCAAGTATCACAGGACCAAGTTCAGGATTGACCTGGGTCTTAGAGCCTGTGTGATGTCCCTTGAATGTTACCTGCAAGTTAATACCTCTAAACCATTGTATTCCTCTCTTACAGGGGACCCAGCGTACCCAGTCACTCCTTGCCACAGCTCCAACCTTGCCACAGCTCCACGTCATGTCAGACGCCCAGTATGTGCTGTGCAAATGGGAGAAGCGATTGTGGCCTGCGAAGGTGACAGCCTTATTCTCTTAGTTTCCAGAATTAGAAATGACTTTGGGTAACTAAAGTCTTTATCAGCCTCCCTCCCAGTGACTCCAGGAGGAAGAATTGGACCTAAATATGCCTGGCGCCTGGATTTGCTGGCATGTGTCCCAGGGTCCCCGTCTGCTCCGTGGGGCTTTGGTCCAGTGTTTATGAGGTCCTACTTCAGAAAATGTTATTTTTTTTGATACTAAGGAAAAGAAAAACATATATATCAGAGTCAGCTCTAAAAAGGCATGTAAGGCTGTGACTCTGGGAAGGATTTGGCTAGGAGCCCCAAGATACAGAGTAAGTGGAGTGTTTGGAGGGTGCTTTCTAGCAATTTAGCAGGAAGCACTGAGCCTGGGGCCTGGCCTGGGTTAGCCAGGGGTTCTTGTGCCTCAGTTTCCCCACCTGAACAGGGATTGGGCTGGGTGTCCGTTAAATCTTATAGTAGCATTGCTTGCAAAAGGGCTTGGTGGATAATTGGTAGATAATTGCATCATTTACAGGTAATCGCTTCTTTACAAGAATTCTTTGTTTTTAATTTTTTCCTTTTCATGCTTTTGTTTTTTACATGTAGGTTTTGTCCAGAACTGAGATGGCCACCAAAAACAAAACAAAAAAGGAATTCTTTCTAGAAGTTCAAATACTCTCCCTGAAGGAAAAGTTAAGTGTTGCTTTTTGGTTTTTGGATTTGTTGTTGTTTAAAAAAAAGGTGTTTTTTTTTAACCTGTGCCTGGGAGTTTCTAATATCCTTCCTTCTGCTGTTAAAAATATGGTGACCCCTTGAGGGTCAAGGACGATGGGTGTGCACAGGCAGGAATGTGGTGTGTAGGCGCTGGTCCCCTCCTACAGTCCCTACCTCTGAAGCGTCTCCTGGGTCCCCCTTGGCTGGCTCCTTTCTCTTGCTACCACCTACCCGGCACCATCTTCAGAGCCTGCCACACAGTGTCCCCAGCACGTCCCCAACTTCTGCTCTCCCTGCGGCAAGGAAGGTAATTGAATACTTGAGTTTAAAAAGAAAGAGCTTCCTTTTAAACTAAAACGCACCTGCTGAGCTGTAAACAGCTCTTGGTGACATTAGCTTTTGGAAAAACCTAACAGGAGTTATTTGTGCAGTTGAAAGTGGGATTTGCCTTATTAAAGTCCCAATTTGAATTTATTTTTACTCTTAACTCCTGCAACCTTTTCTGTCTTATAAGGGTTGGGGGGAGAAAAAAGGGAAGGAAAAAAAGCCACATTCAGCAGGGTCACTGATGCCTGTCACCTGTCCCCTCTGTGCCACCTCCTCAGCCATTGCATCCTTCCTTCTGAGAGAAGGTTGGGAGAGGGACACTGGCCACATTTCTTTGTCCTCTAGATGGTTGAATTTGAAGATGTCCCAGTGTTTTTGGCTGGTGGCAGGTAAGCTTGGCTGGTGTCATAGTGATTTGCTGTGTCCCCGCAGGATTCAAGTGAAGAGCTCTGCAGTGGAGGTGCTGCAGAAGTCCCATATCGAGAACATCGCCACCTTCCTGGGTAAGGGACCCAGCCAGGCTACCACGGGGCTGCACAGGAGGGTTAGCTCCATGGCCACAGTCACGCATGTGATACCCAGAAAACTTGCAGGAGAAGGAGGAATGGATTTGCTGGCTTGTTTGTTTTTTGAGAAGGCCTCATGTAGCCCATGCTGACCGGGAACTCAACACGTAACTGAGGGTGACCTTGAACTGGTTTTTGGATGCTGGGGATGGAACCCAGGGCTTTGCATTGGGTTCTATCCTTTCCCCAACCTTTCCTTTCCAAGGGTTTTTTGCTTTCTAGATTTTCCCCCCAGAACTATTCCTGTTCTTTTTTATGTGTATGTGGTTTTCTTTGGATGCTGTTGTGGATAGGCACCCACCATGACTGCACTCAGTCAGGCTCTAGGCCTGTTTTTTTGGGGGGGTTGGTGGTGGAGGGTTCTTAGCCTTTGAGGCAGCCCCTACTGGCCTAGAACTGGGGAAATCCTCCTCCCTCAACCCCGTGACTGGTTTCAAGCCAGGATCTTATCACATGCAACCAGCAGCTCTCAGACCTCTGGCCAAAACCAGGCCTGCCAGATGGCAAGAGCCACCATAGAGCCCACAAAGATAGGTGGAGAGGACCCGAGAAGATGAGTCCCCACTGGAGCCAAGTGTTCAGCTCATAGGAACAGAAGTGGCGTTGAACCTCAGCAGCAGGAACAGGAGCCAGAGAGGCTAAGGCAGGGGGGAACGCTGGTTCCGAGCTGGGCTGGGGTTGTAGCTCAGTGCTAGACAGTGTGTACCACATTCATTACAATAGCAGAGATAAATCAGTTGCCAATTTTTTTAAAGATGGGAGGTAAATAAAATATTTCTATCCCTGGGGGATCCAGGGGAACAAGGACAGGGCTGACTGGCATCTACTCAAGCACCTTTGGGTCACCTGTTGGTACCACCCAGATGGACAGGCAGGGGGACTCAATTCAACACCCAGCACCCCTGCCTCTTGTGAGATATAGACTGTGCCCGAGCATATAACACACTACTGGGGACTTAGGGCCTAGCAATGAATCCTTCCATGCAAGCAAGGGCTGGCTTCCTCTGCCTTCTGGAACCTGCTGTTATTTGGGCAGAGTCCTTGCCTGAGTGCAGTGCTCAGAGGGTAGGTTTTAGGGGGCTGGCAGTTTGTGGGCAACTTTAATATTTACTAAGCAGGTGTCAAGCGGGTCTGCTGGAGGCGGTGTGTGCCCTCCTAGGTGATACTGCCCTTCAAATAAGAACCACTGAATTTAAGACATTTGAATATCATTTACAGATAGTATTTGGGAAATTGAATTGACCAGTTTTGGCCAATCAGACTACTGACGTCAGTCTGTTTGTGCTTTTTTTTTTTTTTTTTTTTTTTTTTTTTTTTTTTTTGTCTTTTTGAGACAGGGCCTCCCTGTAGCCCTAGCTGGCCTGGATTTGCTATGGAGACCAGGCTGGCCTTGAACTCACAGAGATCCCCCTGCCTCCCGAGTGCTGGATTAAAGGTGTGGGCCACACAGCCCTCTGTTACTTTTGTTCTCTTTTGTGCAAAACATAGTTGGGTGACGCCTGGCCTTCTCCTGCCTGTGCACCAGGCCCTGTCCACTGGAGCTTCTCACTGTGCTTCTCCCCCGCAGCTTCGCAGAATGAGGTACCTGCTGCACCCCTGGAGGAACTGACCTACAGGCGCTCTCTGCGGGTGGCTCTGGATATCTTGAACCAGACAACCAGTTTGAGTCAAGAAAGTCAAAGTCTGAATCAAGATGGGGCTGTGTTGTCTCCAAAAGAGAAGCTATGCACAGATGTGGCCTCTTGGGTCCCCAGTTCTCTGTTTCCATCTTTTCTTCCTGAAGGTGACAAAGATGGGAAGGTGCAGTCAGGACCCAAGAAGCGGCAGGAGTGCAAAGCACAAAGCCTTCCAGGTTTGTCTGCACATAAAGAAGATTCAGAGTGCAGAGTGGCCCACAAGACAGGCCTGGGGAAGAGTGGACACCCCAGAGCCCCACTGCCCCTTCCCACTGGAAATGGTTCTCGGGATGGGCCTGCGTCACAGCAGGGCCATCGACATGAGACCACTGCCAATAAAAGGTGGAGGAATTCAGGAGAGAAACCCACCTGGCCCCGAAGAAGGGGCTCCAACCTTTCCCAGGGAGAGCGCATTGGAGAGATCCAGAGACGGGCAGACAGCTGCATGACCCCAACTTCAACCCGGCTACCCTCTGGGATCCAGGAGGAGGATCTCCATGTCAATGTCAAAGGCTCTGACCCCAGTATGCCATTAGGCATGGGCCTGAAGCTCCCAGTCCCTGAGAGAGGCAGAGGTCGCCCCCCAAAGAGGCCACGCCCAGATGCAGGCCAGAACCCGCCCACCATGCAGCTTCGGACTGAGACTAGGAGGGCAGCAGCAGCCCCCAGGAAGGAGACCAAGGAGGCCCCAACAGTGCGCAGCATTGGGGACGTTGACAGGCCAGAGGAAGAAGGTAGCCAGGAGCTGGGATGTGTGGCATGGGGTTTGGGGCACTCCCAGTGATCCTGGGTCCAAAATAATGGAGACAGAGCAGAGCTGTCTCCATCCATCCCACAGAGCTGGAGGGATAGCCACAGTTTCCAAATGTTTCTGTATTTTTTGTTTATTTGTATTTTATTTTGATCAGGGTCTCCCTGCAGCCCCAGCTGAACTAGAACCTGCTGTGGAAACCAGACTGGCCAGGATCTCACAGAGAGTGGCCAGCCTCTGCCTCTGCCTCCCAAGTGCTGGGACTAAAGGCATGTGCCACCATGCCTGGATCTACTGTCTTTATTTTTTAATGGGGTGGGAACCCAGGGCAGAGTTGGGGGTGACAACTGGTACCACCTCCACACCCTCAGAGCTTCTCTGATTTTTTTTTTAAGT